ATTTATATTCCATAATATTCACAATTGATGTGCCATGAAAATAAAATTTATTAAAGTATATTAGTATAAAATCTTTTGTTTTTAATTTTGGGGTTTACGCTTCATTCTTGTCACTGCTGGCTAAGATCTATTGTGGTGAGTATTCTACTTGTTGCATTTAGTTTAAGTGATGAATAAGGACGAAAAACTTAACTTAATGAGTTTCAGGGCACCCTAAGTTAACTGCAGGTTATTCCATTTGTCAGTATGAGACATGACAACATTAGTTCCGCTCAGTTACTTATTTCAAGAGCTACATATTAGCCTTGTATTTAGTGACTCTGCCAGCTATTGTTTGCAAAGCTTCCTCTCCAAATATAGCAGGCTTATTAATCAAATGTGAAGACACAATTTACTAATGGTAAAAATGAAAAAAAAAATTAGACCACATCCAAATAGCTTGCCAGTAAAATGCCAAGGCTTAGCCCATCTTACTTGCATTATTACCTTGCAATAATAATTCAGCTAAACATTCAAATCAGTAGCCACAAATCTTAAATAAATTCAACTGCAATCCAAAATCTGTTAAATACATGTTATGAAAGAAAGTAGAATATTTAATTCACTACCATCTAAGAAAACTTTTAAGCTTTTCATTTTGCAAATAATAAAGTGACACTCAAAGAGGTCAAATAACACAGTTAAAGTCAAAGTAGTAAGTGGCAAGGACCCAAAATTTCAATGGAGTTTTCAACCTGTATTATAACATGTAGTTGGTGACCTAGTCTACATAGCAGCTACTTAATCTGAACTCCAGTATCAACTAATAACTTTTGATATTATATAAATATTTTTAAAACATAAGCTTGATAATTTAGCATGCTGTTATATATGCAATACAATTCTGTACTTTTCCCATTAATGTGGCTCTTAGGACATCTAACCTTTTCCCATATTTTCTTTTTAGCTCTTCAAAGACTAGAACCAGTCTTTCTGCTAACTGCTTTGTCAAAAATCTTCTAGTTTCTGGGTTGTACCCTAGATCTGTAACATTATTTTTTTTTTCTGTATTGCTTGATATTTGTCATTACAAGTAAGAAATTCCTTTCAAAATCCTCTTGTGGGTTTGCTTGTACCTCCCAAGAAAGATACCTCAGAATGTGACTTTATTTGTAAATAAGGTCTTTGCAGATATAATCCAGTTGAAATAAAGCCATTAAGGATGGATCCTAATCCTATATAATTGTTGTCCTTAAAGGGGACATTTGGATACAGAAACAGACATACAGAGAGGGCAGGAGAACACCATGAGCAAGATAGAGGATTGGCATATAACATCAGCAGGCAAAGGATTACCAGCAAACCAGCACATACCAGGAAGGGACAAGGAAGGAATACTCCATAGGTTTAAGGGGAAGCATGGCCCTGATGACATTTTGATTTCAGACTTCCAGTCCCCAGAATTGTGAAAAAATAAGTTGGCTATTTTAGTAACCCAGTTTTTGGTGCTTTTCTATAACAGCTCTAGAAAACTAATACATATCCCAAACCAAACAAGTTAGAAAATGCATGCATGCATACACACACACACACACACAAACACACACACCTTTTGTTTGCTTTTCTAAATTTCTTTCTTTTAGTTGCCAGATTGTTTCTTTCAAATCTTCAAATCAGAGATTCAGAAACTAAACATATTGTCCTCATCCTATTTTACTCTATTTTTCAGATGGTACCTTGGAAAACAGCATAGTACATGGTTCTTTCATTTTCAAGAAAGAAATATGAAGTAAAAGGCCACTTTGATCACAATTTCTCTTTGTTTGGTGGAAGTATTTTAAGGTTAATCAACAAACATTTGAATACATAATTAAATATGAATTCATATGTATGTGGTCCCAAACAAATCTATCTGGTTTGATGACACTGTCATCTACTCACGGCTGTAAAGCAAATTATCCTTTTCCTTCCTTGCCTTATTCCCTCAGTCAGTAAGTATTTGCATGTGATGGTTTCTCCAAAATGCATCTTTAAGTCATCTTTAATCTAAACTTGGCTATTTCCTTAGTTCAAGACTTCGTTGATTTTTAATAGGTTCTTACTTGATCAATTTTCTCCAATTTCATCAGTTCTTATAAAACAGATCCATTTTGTTCCAGTGATGCAAAATGCCACATGTATAATAAAGCTACTATTATTTTATCATTCTATGTGTTTTACACACCCTAACTCAATCAGGAATGAGAATGAAATTGCTTGGAAAGATTAAATAGCAGACTCAGCTCATGTAAAAAGTGGTAGTGCTACAATTCAAGCCCAGGGCTGTTACACTCTAAAATAATATAAACATTTTACTACATCATAAAAGCCTTTTCATTTTGGCTATTAGAAAAACATTATGTTGATTGTCAGAGAGTTCTTAAGATTTTAGTTTCTTTAACACTTGTAACACTTTGTTTTTGGTTATTTTAAAAATCATTACCTATTGTTCTGTTCAAACTACTGACAGACACTCAGGAATTAAGGAAGAACTACTGTCTACTCCATTTTGTGCTGCTATAACATAATATTATGGACTGAGTAACTTATATAAAAAATATAAATTATTCTCTAACAGTTCTGGAGGCTAGGAAGTCTGAGATCAAGGCACTGGTATCTGATGATGGCCTTCTGCTGTGCTTTTAAATGGTAGAAGGAGGAAAAGCAAGAAAACAAATTTTGTGACTCTACAAGGCAGAAGAGCTAAAGAGGGTAAACTTGCTCCTGAAAGGTCTTTTTATCATGGCATTAATTCACTCATAAATGTAGAGTTCTCTTGATCCAAATGCCTCCCCTTAGGTCTCACCTCCCAACATTGTTGCACTGGGGATTAAGTTTCTAACACATGATTTTTGGGGATACATTCAGACCACAGCAGTTTCTAAATGCCTTGGGCCAATCCATCTCTCTTTTTTTTTTCAGTTCTTTCATTTGACATAATCTGTGGTGAATAAGACCTAAATTAAAATTTCATACACTTGATCACGACATATAATAACATAATACATCAGAATAAGTATAATCACAGTTAAACTTGCAAATCAGCTGATGATGTATATATGGTTGGTAGGCAAACACTAGAAAACAATAAAGTTTACTTTTTCAGACTATAAAATTTCAGACAATTCTAAAGCAGAACTTAGATCTCACTTTCACGTTTTAAAATCACATTATTGAGGTATGATTACCATATAAAAAGCGATATATATGTATACAACTTGATGACATTGGACATAAATATATATTCTTTAAACCATTACGATGACTTATGTCATAAGCCTATCAATCATCTCCAAAAGTTTCCTCTCTCTTTAATATTGCTATTATTATTAATGTGTATGTGTCTTATAAGAACACTTAACATAAGATCTATCCCCTCAGAAATTTTAAAGTATACGATATAGTACTGTGAACTACAGATACTACCCTGTACCATAACTCTCTAGGGCTTATTCATCTTGCATAACTGCAACTTTGTACCCTTTGACTAATACCTCCTTTTTTCATCCTCCCCATGGCCTCTGGAAACCACCATTATACTCTCTGCTTCTATGAGTTTGACTATTTTAGATTCCTCATAGAAGTAGTGTCATGTAGTATTCGTCCCTCTGTATCCTGGCTTATTTCACTTAGCATAGTATCCTCCAGGTTCATCCATGTTGTCTCATCGTGGCAGGATTTTCTTCTCTATAAGGCTGAATAATATTCCATTCTTTGTACATATCACAATTTATCTTTTCACCCATTGATGGACATTTTTCTGTCTTGGCTACTGTGAACAATGCTGCAATGAATGTGGGAGTGCAAACATCTCTTTGAGATTCTCATTTCAATTATTTTGGATAAACACCCAGATGTATGAATGTTGGACCCTATGGTAGCTTTATTTTTAGTTTTTTTAGGAGCCTCCATATTTGTTTTTACCATAGTGGCTACACCAGTTTACATTTTCACTAACAGTGTACAATAGCTTTTGTGTTTTAACCTTTCTAAACCTGTAACTACTATGTTGTGACAAGGGCTACAAAACAGAGTGTCAGAATGAGAATTTAGATGTCTCTCTAAGTATGTTTGTATGCATTTTTAGGCACTTATCCTAAAGAATTTGATAACTTTGTGACCCCTAAAAGATGGGTACTAGTAGGATGATCACAGCATTAGTCTTTTAAACAGAGAAACATTTAAGAAGGAAAGGAAGCAAGGGTACCATTAACAATGGTCATAAGCATATGTAGGGACAGGGACATAATCTAGGACTTTTGCCAGCAAACCAGGGCATAAAGTCACCCTGAATTTGCATAATTGCTATAGTAATAAGTTAAGGAAAAGGGGAGATGAAAAGATATTGGAAAGTATATTTTTGATAAATGGCAAGGGATTATGTATAATGGTAATAAATATGACACCATATTGGTCACTCTGGCTCATTTTCAAGTACGTTCAGAAAAACCTATATATTTCTCTTTGACAAATATTTCTTACAACTGATTACTTTTAAATACTCTACCACCTTCTACCTTACTATACTCACTTTTTTCCCCATAGAAAAGGGGGCTTCTATTGATAGTTACCAGTAAGTCAAAAAAACCTGGCGTATTAGTCGACTTTGGGGCTTTGGTTTCTCAAGACAGGAAAAATACGAGCAAATTTCGTTTTCTCTTTCTTTTTTTTTTTCTAATTCAAGTGAGCACAAGTGTTACCTATTAGCCACCGTTAATACTACTTAAGGATGCTATTACTCATTTTGCATTTTCATCTCTACCTCAATCCAGGTGCCACAATCATAAAATATTTCTCAAAAATACAGCAACAAAAATATCAGAGTCTCTTTAGCAGGATTTAGGGTCATTATGAGGTTCAATTGTTTCATTTTCAACTTTATATAATTGTTAAACTTGACTTCTGCCAATACTCAAGCTGTTGAAAGAAGTACACACTGTAACATAATTTGCCATTTTGAAAAGAATAATTTATGATGATACCTTTCAAGTGAGGGCTGTGTACCTGCATTCTTTGCAGATGTAGATTTACTGGAACAAATTCTAATGTTTTCTCTCCTTTGCTGCTGCTTGATTTGAAAGAGGACCCTGATGGAAACCAGAAATGAAACATTATTAGTAAATAATGATAAATTAATATGCATGTTAAAAGATAAACCTGACAGAAAAATGTTAAAAGAACTTCAGAAAGAAAAACATATCCTATATTTATGAGTTTCTTTTCTTCTTAGAAATTCAATATTTTAAAAAATTGTCTCAATTATTCATGTAATAATTCTGTAAGGTAAAATAGGGTAATGTTTTCTTTGTTTTAAGATGTTAAAGTTAGAAGTAAAAGAGTTAAAAAAAAATCTCCAGTTCTCCTATCTACATAAAATCACTTTATTATTTTTTTTTTTCATTTCACAAGCAGGAAATGCAATTCACTTTGAGTAAGTAGAGTTATTGCTTCCACACCTGTTTCCTTGCTCAGTTCTGTCAGAATGTCTTGGTACATATTCACCATTTGGTCACAGTGAGTAAGGACATTTTTTCGCAGATTGTCCCAATGTGGAGAAAGCTCACCAAGTTCTTTTATCTCCTGGTTTCTGTTAAGAGTGGAAGAGAGGAAAAACTTTACTTTTATCTTAAATCCATAGACACGTAACCCTTAGTCAGACTTGTCAAGATAGTAAGAAATTATTTCAGCATAATTACCAGGAAAGTTCTATGAGCTTATTAGCTTAAATATTTTTAAAAAATTATTTTAGCACACACAAAAATATGAATAGTTTAGACCACACAAATAAAAACATATGTCAAAGGGCAGAAATTAGAAATGTTAAATTCCCTGATGAAATTTTCACGAAGATGGCAGACTTCCTATTCTTATATACATAGGGAAGACATCAGTTAAAAAGCAAATCGTAAAACCTCTATGTAAAGATGGCTAAGTTTTTAAGTTTCAACGGCACAGAATCAAAGAATGCAGGAAGGGGTATCTGACCATGCTGGAAGCAAACATGAGATACTTAGGTAATTCAGTTTATATATAACATAGTTACAAACATTTCTTTAAAAAGCAAAAGCCCAGCCCGGCACGGAGGCTCACACCTGTAATCCCAGCACTTTGGGAGTCTGAGGTGGGCGGATCACCTGAGGTCAGGAGTTCAAGACAAGCCTGGCCAACATGGTGAAACCCCGTCTCTACTAAAAATACAAAACTTAGCCAGGCGTGGTGGCACGTGCCTGTAATCCTAGCTACTCAGGAGGCTGAGGCAGGAGAATCTCTAGAACTCATGAGACGGAGGTTGTAGGGAGTCGAGATTGGGCTACTACACTCCAGCCTGGGTGACAAAGCGAGACTGTCTCCAAAAAAAAAAAAAAAAAGCCCGAATAACAAATAAATGGTATTGTCAGGTATGGTTTTATTGGCTTCAGCTTCTGCCAAAAGGACAATGTATGAAACTACTGTATGTGTATGCGTTGTTCCCTCCTTATCAAAAAGAAGAGCTAACCATGTCATTTAGGCTTCAATTACTAACTTTTAACTAAATTTCTACCCTTTAGCCAAGTTAATTTAAATCATCGGAATGCCTTTTGAAAATTATAGTGATAAATGGTCCAATATGCTGCTTGGTTAGATCTCTTATTCATTTCTGTAACCTTTTACCAACAACATTTTCATGAGGCTAATTTAACCAGTAATAATGAAGCTTCTTTGCTATTTTGGCCATGAAACATGCTAAATACCAAGCTAATAAATTCACAAGCTGTAGAATCTTTAACATTCTGTTAAATGCAAGAATAATGGATGGTGTGCAAAAATGTGACTTGCTTTCAAATGGTTGTAGCTGTCTTTGTTTTGCTCCAATGGGATTGCAATTTTGAATTGCTGCAATTTTCATCTGAGGTCTTTATAATTTTTGTGAACATTCATGTCACTCTCAACTTTTCCAAAGATTAGTATTCATGATGAAGCACTCATGGGAGAAAAAGTAATTAATCAATAGACAATAGAGTAAAAAAAAAAAATCATGACCAAATGAGAGACAAAGAGAAGGTTGAAGATTGGGGAGTTAACTTCTTGTTTGCACTCAAACAGCAGGATGTACAAGTTTAGGAAAACGTAACAACCACTAAAGCAAACAAGTAATTCCGAAAGATTGATATATCCAAGTCTAGAAGAATCTGAGCAATTAGGTTGAATCTGAGATATACAGCAAGTGTAATATATCAACTTAATATGTAAAGTTTCAGCTTTGCTTTCAATATTCAGTTATAATGAAAATATTAGCTAACGATTCTTATTTAATACTAATAGATGCACCATATGGTTACAATTTGTATTGTCTCTAAATTATTATCAGAAAGAATAATTAAAGGGGAGATGACGAGGAAGGTAGAAGAGTGATAGTGAAGCCCCTGACTACATTCTGGGATAGTGGGGGTGGTGTACATTGCCTTGTCTAAGATAAGTTTGGCAAAACGTAATCAGAAAAGTTTAGTATTCTGTGAGGAGTGCCTTGATACAAGCTGTGAGGACTCCATAATTTTTGTTTAAAATGTATTGCACTCTTCCATTATGCCACAATTTATAAAGAGAAGGATACTGATGAATCTGTTTGTTTTAAGCAATGATAGTAAAAATAGGTATACATTCTGAAAAGGACAAACAACGAGCATACTGTCTCTCTGCACTGAGAAAAGTTCCAATATAGGGAAACTACATGATAAAAGTGTAATAAACCAGACAGAGTAATGAAAACATTGCAAAACAAAATGGGGCAGGGTAAGAGAGACACTGCATTTATTAAAAAAGAAATTAATAAGCACATTAATTTCATTAAAGAAGAGAGGTACATTCATACATTAAAATAGATGAGAATGGAAGATAACTTGGTGCATGAAAATTGGTAAACTTTCCAATCAGGAAGCCTAGGGCTATTTATTCATAAAGACATTTTAATTTGTCACTCAGTGTTCAAAAAACTTCCTGGATTAAAACCTTTGCTTGGCATCTCAATCCAGATTCTCTAGGAAGCACAGAATGAGATTAAGCAATGCCAGGTCAACCACAAGGAGGTAAAAAAAGAAGTGATACAGGGAAGAGAAGAAAGCAGCCACAAGGTGGTACATGACTGAGTTGGGCAGAACTTCACAAGAAAATGTGGCTCGTTATTTGGTCATGTGAAACAAACCTAAAGAAGTCATTTGGAACCTTTGTACCTTGGAACAGTTAGTCAGAGAGAGGAACATTTACATGTCAGTTGCTTGTCATACTCTATGTTTCATTGATAAAGATTCATCCTACAGGTCATTAAGTCCTCTGCCTTTATGATTTTATAATCTGCCCCTTTGTGTAGCCACTGGGGAAACCATACTCTAATGGAGATAGAATTTTCCTGGGTGTGTCCCTATATGACAGTTGCCAAAACTACTGTGAATCCTTCCATGGTGGTTGCTACTGGGGACACGCAAATGCCTGGTCTTCACCTTGAGGGAGGCTAATATAGTAAATGGTGTTAAGAGATAAGGTGACAGTGGTGGCAATATCTGAGGCTCATCATTGAGCAAGTGGTCAAAAACGTGAAGACATGTAGGATTATAAGGTTTTAATCCTTAGGATTAGGATTGAGCCAATGTAGAAAAGCACACAAACTGGGCCCAGGACAGACAACCCCATGTACAATTCAGATGTAATTGCACCATCTACTGATAACCCGATAGCATGCAAAATAAGATCCCTCACATATTTCCCAAGAGGAGAGTCTAAGTACAGTCCTTTAGAATGATGGCAAGCTGTGATTCCCCAGAGACTTAAAAGAGCAGTAATAAATCCAGCCACAATATCCAATCCTCCAACTAATTCTTAAGGCCTTAATTGACATTCATCACCTATCTCCTTTACCACGAATCCCAGATTTTCCCCCATACTCCACCAGCATTTCAGCTGGTCTGAGCTGCTGCTGAGTAGGGTGTTGCAGAACTAAATCCTGATGAATTAAGCCCTTAGTTTTCTTGCTCCTATGGAGTCTTGGTTGCTGTAATTTCTCCTTCCCATCAGGGCGTGGAGTACTTCTAAGTTTCAGACATATTTTGCCTCGCTCAGATTCTGTGACAGTAGCCATATCTCCTCATGGTGGTGAGTATGGATATCTCACGCCATTTTTTTGGTCTATTGTCATGAGGAACACCAGATCACATATGGAACCAATCACAGCTTCCACTTAAGTGGGATTCTAATTGTGTCCCCTGACAGAACAGCACTGTTCCCTTGATTCCACCACAAGAACCAGGATTCTAACTGGCAAAGTATAAGTAGGGAAAGGTAGTGCAAATACCACAAGCAGATCACTTCTATTGATTACTGGAAGGGCCTACCCTTAGTCCCAGGACTGTGCGTCCTGGGTATGATAAATACAGCATTCTATATCAGCGATTGGTTTGGCATATTTCCCAATCCTAGAAGGCAGTATCCCGCTTCTAAGGTTTTTCCTCATGCTGGTGTCTTGGCTGAACTTTTCATGATTAATATTATTCCGCTGTACCATCAGGCCTGTTGCTGTTGGATGATGAAACACATTATGACCATAAGCTCACTGTTGTGCCTTCTTTGATACAGCAGCAAATGTCCCTTAGTAGAAGCAATATTATATGGGACACCATATCATTGGATCAGTCATTCTTAGGCTATCAGATGTGGGTGCCAGTGAAAGCACTGTGAGTGGAAAGACAAACACATATCTAGACCATAATTCACCCACTTAGGACAAATTGCTGCCTGCTCCAAAGTGGAGAGGATGCAACTTAATTTGCCTGCCACCCAACAGATGTTGGGTCTCTATCGTACCCTGGAGGAATGGTACCGTCTCAGTGGCTCAATGTCAGTCTGTTTCTGGCATTTGATAGTTAGAAGCGACAATAGCTATATTAGCTTTGGAAAGGGAGGCCATGTCCTGGGTCCATGCATTTTCCCTGCCTCTGTCACTAAGATCTAAGTCCAACCACAATAGATCATTCTCTTCATGGGTCTATTGCACAAACTCTGCAGTAACTGAGAAAGGAGGCTGGCTAATATCCACTAGATACGTGACAATGTCCACCTGGTAGTAGAAAACTTCCTCTGCAGTATTTACAGTCTGATAAGCATGATTTTGATTGTGTTCACTCCTACAGCCCCATCTACATGTCTCTTGCTCATATTCCTTGTATTTGATTTTCTAGTCTTATTTCTTTCAGGCCCATCAGATTATTAACTCTGCCAAAGCTCAATGTACATCTGCACCTCAGGTTACCTCCTTCTCTACATGAAGGGAACACCAAGTAAACACTTTGCTGATCTTCCCACTGGGTAAATTTCCTTCATTATTGACCGTGAAGTCCACCCAACATGTCAGGCTGACCCATTTTTATACCAGCGCAAGTTCTTTCCTCCTCCAACAGATAGTCATAGGGAACTCTCGAGGGTGTGAGTTGAGTACATGTTGAATGTACTCTCTAGAGTATATTCGGGAACTCTAAAGGTCTGTACTGACAGTTTCCTATTTGCTTTTCCTAAAGATTCCACATAACAGAGTTGTTTCTCACCACAGACACTTTCAGTCCC